GCTAGGCAGAACTATACTGGCAATAGGGAGTCTCCTTGGAATATCACTCTTGATATTCGTACCTTACCAGCGTTCTTGTTATTCTTTAAAATATTGGTTCTCTAGGTACCCATGAGATGTTCGAGCACCACCCTTATTTTGGGGCATATTTTGTAGATTTCAAGCACTTTTACAAGCCAGTCGTGAAAAACCAAGTATTATTATTATTAATATTATTTTTTGTGTGTCATAGTCTTCAACTACTAAGGTTATTTTGCCTCGTGTTCTGTGAAGGTTTTGGTACTGTTTTACAGCGCCACTTTAGGAACAGCACTGTTAATTAGAACCCAACAGTGAATGGTCGAGTGGGGAATCCTACCAAGTATTATTACACGCAAAGAAATAAATTAAAATACGTACTAACATTATAAAAAAAATGTTGTTTCGTATATGGGACATATACCTCGTACCATACCAAAGCAATTTCTACTACGTAACCTAATAATTCCTATTTCACGCGGCCATTGCAAACATGTCAAATAGACCATACTGTATAATTAACATTAGGTGTGTTTAAGATTTTTTCAGTTTTGAAAGAACTCGATCCCAGTGCTGTAGATAAAATTAAGCCAATTGCTGGAGAAATTTCAGAGCTCAAATTAGGTAAGTTTTATTAATAAATATTATAATAATCCAAATTCTTTCTATTGGCTGGCTCAATAAGAATGGCGTTCGATCATATCTCAGGAAAACCTGGAAAATATTAAGATAATATTAAAACGATCGCTAGATAGCGTAATGGAATAATAAATAGTAAAATGCTTATTTTGTACAAAATTAAGTCAAGGTATTCTAAAAATATGATAGTTGGAATTTGGATTAATTATTGAAACAAAGATATATAGCTCATTTAAAACTTCCAATTCTACACACACGACTTTAACCTGAATACAACCCTGCTTAGACGAACTTTGATATCCCGCCCAGGGCCGTGTTCGATAAATAACTCGTAAAGTATGTTTTACTCTTTCACTGTTTTATTATTACCAAATAACTAAACGAAGTTTTGGACTTAAAGTTAACTATCTGTAATTCAAACGGTATCACTGGGCGTGGCTTATGTCGACTTAGTATGGCCGATCCGCCAGTTTAACTCTAGCCAATTTTCTCAAAGAATAAACTCAACTACGAGAGTCATTTGTCGAACACAACCTTGTGGTGTCATGTTTCCGAGACAGCACAAAAATATTGTATGGATACTCGACTACGGTAGCGTAGGTGTCTACGGCGCCGCATTCATTTGCGAGCCAATTTTGTGGTAAACGAGACACGGTTTCGAATCCTACGAAAAACCATGTGAATTTATTTACATGGTTTTCTATATAGGATTTAATGGATGCCATATTGGCAAAAATTTAATTTTTGTTGATATGACATCCAGATTAATAAAAAAATCGCTATGCGTTACCATTTTCGACGATGGTGGGTGGGGTTTTCCGGGTCTTCCTCACCTGTAAGTCAAATGGCACTATCAATCATCTTTAAGTCGCCCCGGAGCGCCACGGCAAATAATAATAATAGCCGTCCCTTTCCCCAGACAAGCTCAGCTTTTGGGATTAAAATTCACTCGTAAGGGGGTGAATTAGAGAGAGTATTATTATTCTCGAAGTAGTGCGTTAGTCTCTGTCCTGCAGATTGAAACATAGACGAAACGGCTAATGGAACAGGGTTGGCTTAGGCGTTCTCACAACAATATTTTGAATATTTTATCAAAGTAATGTCACGTTGACGTTTCCATATGAACAGTAAGTTGCTTGATCAAGATATTCGACGTTTAATTTCTCGAGAACGGTAGGTATAAGATACTCTGACAGCACAAAAATATTGCATGAATATCTTATATTTCATGGATATGCCATATCCGCCATGGCAAGATTGCAAGAATATTCAAGGTCACCTGAAACATATGCTCACGATATGTTTTTATGTGCCAAAATATATGTATGGCATATTCTCTGGATTTACTGAGGATATCTATGTATGCCTATATTCATGGTATTTTGAATATTTATGGCATATTGCATTTTTTTTTGGTATGCAGTACTATAGAAAATAAAATAAAACCCATGCTTAAATACAAATTTGTAATATAAAATAAATTTTATTTCAAAAATAAAGCAAATATTCTAATAGTATATTATGCAACGATCATGTAATGATAGCCATTAATTCACGAGCATGTTGTAGGATATGAAACGACCTGCAAGCGAGTTTCGTACATAACATGTGAGTGTATTAATGACCATTACATGAGAGTTGTATACGCTATTTTTTCTACTCCCATTAACTAAATTATTAAAACATTCTCTGAGAGCACAGATATATTTTTGGTGTTTCTACAATCCATAAATTGTCTTTATAATTTTTCATAGGTTTTATTGGACTTGTCCGGTAGTATATTATTAACTGTATTTGTCGCTCTTTCTCTAATTTCTGGAGGTGTTAGTAAAAATTCTTCGTTATCACTCATTATTTCTATAATAACTCAATCAAAATTTTAAACAATTTAAATAATTGCCAAAAAATATTTCGATTCTATTCCCTGAAAAATTTGTACTGTCAAAAATAACTGTCTACTTCGCCAAGGATAATTTGATTCTACTGGCTGAAACATCTGTATCATAATGAGGTTCATTATGAAACTGGATTTAATCTTTTAACTAGCATATTATAAAATAGGAGTAGAAAAAAATAAAAACAATACATACATACATACATACATACATACATACATACATACATACATACATACATACATACATACATACATACATACATACATACATACATACATACATACATACATACATACAAAAAACTGTAATTTTCAATTTATTTGGTGAGGTTCTTCATGCAACAAAATTCAGGAGGTGATTGCTCGTATGAAATTAAGATGGGTCTTTTCTATAACAAAATGTCCTCAACCCACTAGTGATGCCGCGAGACGAGAGATTCTCGTCTTCCGTCTCGTCTTGTCTCGTTTCGAACGAGCCGAGAGAGAGACATTTTCTCTCGATAACAGATTTGAGACAAGACGAGAGAGTGTCATCTCTCGACGAGAATTTTCGTTCCTCTCGAGCTCTCTCGAGCCCTCTCGAACAATTTTCTCTTTGCTTATTTGAAATTTTCAATTGCTTATCGTAGCTTAAAATTTGAACATATTATATTTCGATATAGTCAAAAAGTTAACTATAACACACCTATTCTATATAAATTAAATGGTAACAAATAATACATGTGTTATTAGAATTTTATAAATAGTGATTTATAAGAAAAAATATTTCTCATTTCATTTATTTAAAATTTATACAATCATTTCTTATATTTAATCCATTCTGCTTTTCTGAGGTTACTTTTGAAGATAAATTGAAAAATTTTAAGCGTTTTTTTCGAAAATCTGTCAAAGAAAAGGCAATAACTTTACTTTCCATTAGAAAATTTAAAGATAGTAATGCCCTCTATTTTACGTCTCATGTACCTAAAGTTCATCTCATTATAACAAAAATATCATAATGTTTCTCTAATTTCACATCGTTTTTGTTTTATGTCTCTATCTTCTTTCATTTTGAAAACATACTACAAAATACTTTTATTTAACGTTGCAGGATTGCATTAGAAAATTTCTAATTGTAAGTCAGGATCTATGATCGTAAAATTTTATATTATAGGAACTTGTAATAAAATAAATTACATTCCGTAAGATAAAAATTGTGACTAGTTTACAAAAAATATTATATTTAGACATAAGTACAATATTTTACTTGCATTAGAAGCTTTAAAAAGACATTGAATATTTCTCCTTGTGTGTTTTTTAGTTTTACATTTGATTTGTATCCTGTTTTACAATCTGGAATGACGTAAATCTTGCTTTGATGTTTTTGGTCACTCATGTTACTTGTGCTCAGGTACTTTTTTTCACATTATTTTGATTCATTTCCCCAATTTTTTAAAAAATCACTTAATTTTACATTGACTTACATAGAAAATTGACACCGCTGTTATTCGACATGCCAACTACAGTTAATTTCGCGAACTTTATAAAAAGTAGATATATTATATATATTTAGATGCTCCTAGCAAATCTGGCAATAAGTTGTGTCATATTCTTCCTCTTTTTTTTTCATTAGTTGCCTTCGCCATTTCTATCCTCCCGTATACCAAAGACTTACGTTCGACGAGAGATTAGATTACGAGTGGGGACAATAAGGCACTATTAGGTAAATTTTACTACCAATACTTCCTAGGCGCATACTTGTAATGTTTTTGGCGCATACTTTTAGACTGCTAGAATAATTCTCTTGTCTTTTTTTTGTCTACGTTATAAGAAAACTATACATACTTATTTTATCTATGAAGAGGACGATAACTCGATCTCCGAGGTTTCATTTTTTTTATCAATTAAAAGTTCACGTTTTTGGTTAATTTAAGTCTATATAAACTAACCAAGGGTGGTCCTGATAATCTATACTTATAGATAATAAAACAAAATAGTTAAATATAACAATATTCTACAGAGAAAACTATAAAATATGAAAAATAAGTATTCTGAGCATATCAAAAAAATACATAGGCCTGAAATATCTTTCTAGGATGTAGATTATGAAATATAGTTTGTGAATATTTTATAAATATTGCAATATATTTTGGCAAATAGGCAGATTGATGGCATATGTCAGAGATATAGCGTGCTGTCTAGGTAATAACGTAATAACAAGTATCTCATTGGAAACAATTGGCTCATTAGTATTTATACCTCTATGCTATGTAGATATTTATTTTGTTCTGAGTATGAAAACTAGTCTTCATAGTTCTGAGAAAGTTTCTGTGAGTTATATTGTCAATGTGTAGAACTGTGAAAAAATTTATTATGACAGACTACTGAGAGCATCATTTTATTTTAGGAATAAGCGAATCAGACAGAGCAATTCTCATCAAAACCGTCACAATCGTATTCCATATAGCAGCATCGGTTCGTTTCGATGATTTTCTGGAAAAAGCCATCCTCACCAATGTCCGGAGTACCGCAGAAGTCATAGATCTAGTCGAACAGCTAGATACCGTCGACGCGTTCATACACGTGTCTACCGCATACTCAAACTGCGATAGAAAACTTATCGACGAACGATTTTACCCGTCAGCGTATAATTGGCGGGATGCCATCAAATTGGCCGAAAGTACCGAGGAAGATGTTAAGAAAATCACACACTCTATGACTCTTAAGATGATTGAACCAATGCCGAATACTTACGTGTTTACTAAAGGTCTAGCAGAAGATTGCGTCAACGAGAGGTGTCTTAATAGATTCCCCACGTGTATAGTTAGGCCATCTATAAGTAAGTAGTTAAAACAGACTGTCAAAAATGAAAACATAAGTATTGAAGTAATTTCTTTATATTTCCAAGGATTTTCTTCTTTTCTCTAGGTCTTCATCTTTATATCCTTGCTTGCTTGCCATATTGCAATTAGTTGTCTTTTATTGATTTAATATTAGGGTTTTTTTTTAAAGCTTACGATAACTTACTACATATACTTAAATGGGATTTTAAACTTAAATTTATTTTTCGCACAACACCCTGTGATAAAATTTAAAATTAAATTTTAAACTATGTTTACATTTATTTCTTATAAATTTATTTATTGGTTTTTTGTATCATCGTTTGATTTCACTCACTTTAATCTTATTATTAATAATTTTGATAAGCAAAGAAAAAGAAAACTCTCGATATATTACAATTTTAAAAATTCCACTTAAGTCCAAAACTCTCTGTGTTTGGTCTGATGCCATATCAATATATCATAGAGGCAGAATCTAACACTCTTTGTTTGGTACAAGCAAGGTAATCGAGAAGAGATTAAGGGAACTAGAGGGCGTTCCAATAATGTGAGTAAGTTTGATATAACCGTTATTATAGAAAATATAAAAAATATTATTTACAAAAATTGTAGATGTTAATTTGCACATTTAAAAATTATTTTCGAATATACAGAGTAACTTCAGAAATGATCAAACGTTTGTTTTTTAAATGGATCGCCCCGTATTTAATTCTAAATTGAAATGCTCCTGATTTTGTCCTTTAAGAAAATACCAGCATGTACGAGGGTATACTGGGTATTTTAAAGTTTAAACTAGTTTTTTATGAAAATCGAAAACGATAGTCTACTTTTATTAGAATATACTAATTTATTCCTAACGTAACAAACGTGTCAAACGAGTCAAAACTCAAATACATGATTTGAGTTCAACATTTCCTATCCCTAAACACAACAGCTTTGGAGATATTTTATATTTCAATTAAAAACCATGAGCCAAAAATAAAGTAAATTATTTCTTATTTTTTTTTATTTATTTTTTTTTTTAGTCAGACATGTTGTATTTCATGACTGCATTAGACATACTTTAAATAGCTCTTTAGCTTTTATTAATCATTCCCTATACCTAAGTTTTACCGTTTTTAATATATTCTTAATTTTGTAAACTATTATTCTAATTTTTTCCGTTTTTTAAATTAATTTAAATAAATAGGTCATGAGAAATTAGTAAGAACATTTTACATTAATTAATTCACACACAGTGAATAGCTTTCAAAACCAATAATACACTAGGGAAGTATACTAAAAAGAATATGTGCTAAATAAATCTCAATAATAAATCGGGAGTATACAGGGTGTTATTGAAATACACGTACATATTAAAACTGGGTATTGCGCAGATCCCCACTGAATGTAGAAAAATATTATTTTTTAAAAATACCCCTTATTAAGGGAGTTATTAATTTTTGAAAATTAATTCTAAAACAAACGTACTTCACTGATATGTTGAGGATGACCTATATAAATTAGGTTTATTTACCTATTTTAAACATCAACAGTAATTAATATGCAAGTTTTTGTCAGATGATAACAAAACTAGTCTTGTAAGAAATAACCATGTTGCCAAGATTTTCGAATTAATTTCTATTTCCGAAGACTGGTTTTTACTACCCTCGTTATCAAAAAACTAGAATATTTGATAAATGATTGTTTTTAAACTATACATTTTTGAAACTATAGATTATTAAAATTTTAGTTGATTTACGAATCTGGCTAACACGAGCGCGTCATTTCCAAGTTGGTAAAAAGTGTTGTTACGATTACTTTTAAATATTTTTTTACGATGCCACTATTTACGAATATTGAACTAACGGATATAGTGCTGGTTTATGGGGCAGCTGGAGAAAATTCTCGGCAAGCACAAATCCTGTATCGCGAACGGTTTCCAAATCGGAGAATTCCGGACTGTCGTACGTTTATTTCAACTGTTCAGCATCTAAGAGACCATGGAAAATTTGAGAGTGTCAATGCAGATCGAGGGAGAACAAGAACACAAAGAACATTGGCGGCCGAAGAAGAAATATTGGAAGCTGTTGAAAACCGGCCTCAATTAAGTTGTAGAAGACTAGGTCTTGAAATTGGAGTGTCCTCATTTGTTGTGTGGCGGACACTTAAAGAACAAGGTTTACATCCTTATCACATCCAAAAAGTCCAGGCCTTATATCCAGGTGATGAAGAAAAGAGAGTGGAGTTTTGTGAATGGATGATTCAAAAATGTGTTGATATTCCTGATTTTCTAAAAATATTATTGTATACTGACGAGGCTTCATTCACTCGTGATGGCGTGTTCAATATGCACAATACGCATATTTGGAGTGATGAAAATCCTCACGCCATTAGGGAAACTGGGCAACAAAGAAAATTTTCAATAAATGTTTGGGCTGGCATAATAGATCAGTATTTAATCGGGCCTTATGTTCTCCCGAACAGATTAAATGGGCCAGGATATCTCCACTTTTTAGAAGATATTTTGCCAGTACTCCTAGAAGAGATACCGTTACAATTAAGGCAACGGATGTGGTACCTACTAGATGGCGCTCCTCCTCACTTTGATTTAAACGTACGGCAGTTTTTGAACATTAGATTTCCTCAAAAGTGGATAGGCAGAAATGGACCTACTAAGTGGCCTCCGAGATCTCCGGACTTAAATCCATGCGATTTCTTTTTGTGGGGTCACATGAAACAACTGGTTTATAATGAACCTATTAATAGTGTTGAACAATTAACCAATAAAGTTAATGCGGTAGCCGAGGAACTACGACAAAATCTTTGTAAAGACGATTGCAAGTGTGTGTAAATAATAATGGACGGCATTTTGAACAATTACTGTAATAAACTTTATTTTGAATTAATTGGTTTTGCTACGGCAACAGTGCAATTTCTATGGGTAAGTTCAATTTCGATTTATTTTACTTCTTTAAATATGGAAACTAGTAGGTCGGAAAAGGGGACTCTTCCCCAATATTTAAATTTTAGAATTTGAAGTTAAAATTGGTGCCAATCGTTTTTGGTAATTACATACTATTCCCCATTTTAATATGTACGTGTATTTCAATAACACCCTGTATAAATTAAATTGTAGTAGTTGTTCAAAATTGTATGTTGGTCAAACAGGCCGTAATTTAAAAAAACGCTATTCAGAACATTACAAGGGTTATACATAGTTGTAACTAGGGCTGGGCGATTATCAATATAAATAATCGATTATCGATTATTTAAAATAATCGATTAATCGAAAATAATCGATTAATCGAAAATAATCGATTACTTGAAAATAATCGATCAATCGAAAATAATCGATTAATCAAAAATAATCGATTAATCGAAAATAATCGATTAATAGAAAATAATCGGTTAATCGAAAATAATCGGTTAATCGAAAATAATCTATTAATAGAAAATAATCGATTAATCGATTGGTCGAAAATAATCGGTTAATCGAAAATAATCGATTAATCAAAAATAATCTATTGCTCGAAAATAATCGATTAATAGAAAATAATCGATTGATTAAAATGATCGATTGATTAAAATGATCGATTAATTAAAATAATCGATTAATCGGAAATTATCGATTAATCGAATATAAAAAATATATATAATTGATTATTTTGCCCACCCCTATTGAAGACCTCAAAAAAAATTGGTGTACGGAATGGGTTGCTCGTCGGAAATCAGCTAAACTATCTAAAAAACATCAACAAATCGCCCTCTTTGATATACCGCCCATATACGGAGATATATTTAGTTATACATAGTTGTAACTAGGGCTGGGCGATTATCAATATAAATAATCGATTATCGATTATTTAAAATAATCGATTATTTTCGATTAATCGATTGATCGAAAATAATCGATTAATCGAAAATAATCGATTAATCGAAAATAATCGATTAATCGAAAATAATCGATTAATCGAAAATAATCGATTAATCAAAAATAATCGATTAATCGAAAATAGTCGATTAATAGAAAATAATCTATTAATCGAAAATAATCGATTAATAGAAAATAATCGATTAATAGAAAATAATCGATTAATAGAAAATAATCGTTTAATCGATTGGTCGAAAATAATCGATTAATCTAAAATAATCGATTAATCGAAAATAATCGATTATTCGAAAATAATCGATTAATCGAAAATAATCAAATAATCGAAAATAATCGATTAATCGAAAATAATCGATTAATCGAAAATAATCGATTAATCGAAAATAATCGATTAATCGATTATCGATTTAAAAAATATATAAGGATCGACTATTCGATAATCGATTAATCGATTATTAATCGATTAATCGATTATTTTGCCCACCCCTAGTTGTAACTAGACATATGACCTAGGGGGGTCCTAAGGTGGTATGTTATTGTGAATTGGAATCTTTAAAAAAGTAAAACAAAAAATGTTGACTCTAAAGGACACAAATGCCAAATTTTTTGCTCAAGTAGTTCTAATATTTTTAAAAATAATTACAAAGTAATTTTTAACATAAATAACTAAACAAAAGCTGTGAATAATATACAGGAAGTAACAAAAATATGTACAGTAAATTTAACTACATTTACTGGTATCGAAAATCAAGTTATAAAGGTCGCAAGACCCATACTATATGGTTGTTTTCTAATCCCCTGGGTAACTTCTATATAGGGTTAAAATATTTTCTTTTCCCAATGAAACACCCTGTATAAGTGAAGACTATCATTAAAATTGATCCATCAAATAAGTTTAATGTTCAATTGTTCCTTCTGAAATATACAGAGGCATGAGCGACGCCACAGGAGAACAAGAGGGGGGGGGGGCGACTGTCCTCTTGGATTTTTAATTTTTGATTTTTCGTCATGTCTTTCGACTATGACCTGAAGCGTTTTGACTCTGCCTATAAGACTCCCCCCCACCGCGAAATTTTTTTAAACGTCGTTCATTGAACCTAATACGATTTTCATATAATATTAGTTTAA